TAGGGGTATTAATTATACTGAAATTTCCCTGTAAGCCAGAGATTCTTTTATTGTTCTCTCTGAACCATGTCTAAGTCATATACAGTTTGCATCCAGAACAAATTTTGCCACGACGTATTAAGGATTGAGTAGAGCCCTCCACCATTGTTGAAACTTTCAGACTTAAAACTGACGCTATGTGCTCCCAAAGTCTTTTTTTTTTTTTTTTTTTTGAGACAGGCTTTCATTATGCAGTTCAGGCTGGCCTTGAACTTACTCTGTAGCCCAGGCTGGCCTCAAATTCCCAGCAACCTTCCTGCTTCAGCCTCTCAGGTGCTGGGATTACAGGCATGCACCACCATGCCTGGCCCGCAAAACAGGTTTGAAAGTGTATTTGTGGTACTACTTACCTGCATCTTTTAAGACTTTCCTTCACTACTGCTGAGAAGGTAAATATTTATATTATGAATTAGATCTTGGTGTTACTGCTGTCTAACCAGTTCTTGCTAACACTGGGAATATAATCATTAGAAGAAATGGAGTGGCTTTTAAGTATTTAAAAATATTTCACAACTAGGCAAGGTGGTGAGTGCCTGTAATCACAGCTACTTGGGAGGCTGAAGCGGGAGGGTCACTGAAGCCCAGGACTTTGAAGTCAGCCTGGGCACCATAGTGAGACCTCGTGCCAAAGAAGAAAGTGAGTAAACTCTTGACTGCATTTCAGGCAGCAAAAAGCACATGGACACAGAATAGCATTACAGATGCTGGGGCTATAGCTCAGCAGCACAGTGCCTGCATGGCAGGTGCGAGGCCATGAGTTCAATTCCCAGTACAAAAAAAAAAGACCATATTGAAAACAGTATCAGATTTAGGACATTTTTGCTGTAAAACTTTATTCTACTTTCAAATATTTAAAGTATCTGCAGTTGGTTTTCTCTCTTGGTGGAAGAGTATGAACATATAAATTAACAGATTGCACAAATATTGACTAGAAAATTCATTATAAATTCAGAATATATGCTACAGAATTACTTTTTTATTATTGCAGATTCCAGATTTTACAGACCAGGCCAGTTCTGATCCTTTTTTAAGGCCTATAGACAACATAATACCAGCCAGAAGTAGAAAAGAACAAGATAGGTACAAAAATAGAAACATTTTATTTGCAGAGGACATAGAATATGAAGAGCAAGATCCTCCTTACGCAGCAGGTTCAAAGATTGCAGGACCTACCATTACAACCAAGGCCAGCAACCCTATTACCATTGCAAAAACAATCTCAGACACAAAGAGTAAGTTTCCTTGTGATCCTGCTATCAATACAACAAACATTTTGGGCTCTTGGGATAAATTAGTCCGTGATGCTGATATCACAATGAGACCTCCACACCCTACATTCAAAGAAAAATTGCCAAGTGCATCCTTACCAAGCTTCATAGGACAATCACCAATGATGAGACCAGAAAATGAATGTCATCTCTCCAAGTCTCTAAATCCTCCCTCCCACATGGAAAAGTTAAAACTAGGGACACTCAAGTCAATTTTAAGTAAAAGCCTGCAAAGCCTTTCAGACACGTTATTTTGTAGATCAGACATCTGTAAGAACACTGAAGCAATAGAGAAAAGTAGTTCTCCACGCCCAAGTATTCACAAGAAATCATCACAGAGTTTAGAAGATGAAGTATTTAAAGGCGTGCAAGATTTAAGTACCTGGCTTTCAGAAAAACACATGTTAAATTCAAAGGCTCTTTTATGTGATGCAATTAAAAACATTTCTGCAGATTTAGTGTCAGAAGGTAAACCAGGAAAATCTCTAGAAGGTAGCTCTGAAAAACACTTAGAAGCTGGTGAAACCAATTTGCCAGCGAAAACAAAGAGTAGTTCCAAAAAGAAACATTTAATATGCGCAATACCTAGCTCCAAATCAGGTTTACATGGGGACGTACACGACTGTTTCATCAAGGAAATATTCACCGCACCAATCTTCTCACAGTTGGAGGCAGAAATGAAAAAGCTGAGTAAGACGCAGATGAAGCGGCAGGAGAGAAGTTTGTCCTCAAAGAGTCTAGTTCCCTCCGGAGAAAAGGAGGAGGTAAAAGAATCGCCATGGCCCAGTTCTGTTATAAACCAGATAATGCAAGCATTTCCTATGGATGCTGTTTTAGACTCTGGCGTCAGCAAACTGATAGAACTAGGAAGAGAAGACCAGATGCCTCTTCCGCCGCATAGAAAGAGAGCCTCTGCGGAAGAAGCGCCAGAGGGTTCCACAGTGGACTATTCAGATGGCAAAAGCAAGACAAAGCTTCCTTCGGGGCAGAAGAGACCTGTGGGAGGCAGCCAAACCACTTCGCTAGGAGATTCAACACTGCACAACAAAGCAGATGTGATAAGTAAAGGTCAGAGGCTCCGTGGAGGAGAAAGTGTTCTAAATTCTGCTTTAAAACGTTTAAGTAACCCGTTGCTGGACACGTTTAATGAGTCAAAAGCAATGATGTTAACATCCCCTTTGAAAAACGTCTTTAATGCTTTTTTCAAACCTGATCAGTCTGAAAGAAGAAGACGCTCAGAAGAATTAGAAACACTAACTGCACATTCTTACCCAGGTGACACAGAACATCTGGAAATCCAAGGGAACTTTAATAAAGCAGACAAAAGACCTTTTCTGAGTCCAAAGCTGCGTGTGTTTCTAGAAGAACTCTCAGAATCAGAAATAAAAGGCTTAAAACTTGAATTAAGCAAATATATACAACATTACCTTATAGAAAAACTTTCAGATATAGGCTATATCACCAAGGAAGATTTACCAAGAATCTACCAAAATCTCTATTTGATGAATGAGAAAGTAAAACGGAAAGGGCAAAATATTTTTCAGGACAAATATTCAGAAACTCTAAAAGAAGTTATGGCTTTTATAAATAATTTAAAAAATCATTTCATAGATAAATACTTAGAAATAAAGCTCAGATCATTTTTAAATGAAATTCTCCAAAATTATTTACTGAAATACTATTTAGACAGCAGTTTACTAAATAAGACAGAATCTGCACCAACAGTACACTCAAATGCATCTCCCATAAGAGCTAAACATACCTCCAAGTCTTTTTATGAGTCAGAACAAGATATTTCAAGGGAGAATTTTGGTAGAAGGCTTGACATAAACATGAAATATCCTTTAGAGAAATCTCTACAAAATTATCTTATAACTCTATCAGAAACCGAATTACTAAATCTAAAAGAGAATTTAAGTAAACATATCCAGAGAACTTTCATAGAAAAACTTTTAAAATCAGGATTAATAACAGAGAAGCAATTAAAGGGGATCAACCAACATATAAATTTGGTGAATTCCAGTTCTAGCCCGTCGAAATACATAAAAACAGATTTACCTTTTAGAGATGACAATGGCTTTATGGCGGACCATTCAGGACAGCAAAATGAATGTTCAAAGACTGGTCAAAGCACTGCTTCACAAAATATTACTGAGGGTGAACGTATAGAGACAGGATTTAACAGGAAAGAACAAAAGGAATATTTTTCCGTACACAATTCAAGAGAAAATGCACCAACACTTCAGCAGCAGAAAAATTATTATTCTAGAGAAGGATCTAAAACACGAAGTTTAATAAAAACACAGCCTTATTCCGACAACATCCGGGCAATTTCATTAAACAGATCATCAGAAAGGCTTACAAATATATTGCTTAAGAAACACAAGAAAGAATATGGTTTCCTGCAAGCTCCTCAAACAGAAATCTCTATGTATAAAACAGAGACTCAAGACTCATACAGCAGGGATGGTAACTCCGAAACCATTTTGTCAAAAGCTTGCTTTGAAGCAACACTGAAAGCAAAGCCCATAGAAAAAAGGGAATATATTAACACTTACTCAATGACTCTTCAGAGAAAGCCGGAAGCAATATTGTCACCGTTTCCAAGAATTCCATATTGCTGTATACCTAGGGACAGTGAAGATTACTTAAATAGCTCTACTTTCCCTTTAGGCCAGGCTTACACGTCAACTCATTTCGATTTTGAGACTAAGAAACAAGAAACATTTGACCAGTATTTTCGGAGATTAAAAGCAAATAATAACAACAATAAAAAACACCTAATAACCTTCGGGCAGTACCGAAAAGACATACAAACTCTGTATACGAGCCCAAGTGAAATTTGCGATGAAAATTGTGCCGACTTCCCTGAGTCGCGATCATTTAAATATAAGGAAAATGAGAAGAATTCTAAATCATTCTTCTTCCCAGAAGTGCTAAAGAGAGAAAATATAAAACCCAAGGTTCAAAAAGAAAGAAAACATGGGAAATTTAGAAAGTCGTCCAACAACAGAGATAGGATATTACCAACCACACTGCCCACCACAACCATCCATGTAAGGAAATCTATTCCAAAGACTTCACTTCACTGGACTGCGAGAACAACCATACACGTAAGAATATTTTTTCTGTTTTCCATTTCTATACTTGATTGTAAATAATTTTTATAAATAATTTAATAATGTCTATAAATAATTTGCCTTTGTGTACATATGTCTCTCTGTAAGTGGGTGTGTAATTTTAATTGCCCCAAAATATACAGTCCTCTAAGTTTAAATATTTTCTCAAATTCAAATATCACCACATTTGACTCAAAATATAATCAGAAAACCATGGGACTGTTACTGTTCTGAGTGCCTTTGTGTGAAATAAAGTGCACACTCCTTGGGACACAATTTTTAAAAAAATACCCTTTCCCCTGAGCAGACCCTCCAGACTGACCCAGATCAGAGCCAAGCACGCTCTCCACACTGGTCTGGACCTCAGCTCTGACTCAAGCTAGCCAGGGGCTGCTGGGTGACACGGCTTGTGAAGCCATTAGCAGTGGCCAGGTACTGTGGAAAAAACTGAGATTTCCTTTTTCCAGAAACATGGGACTTTTTTCAGAAAGCTGAATTATTTATTTCAGTAAATAAATATGAAGTTTCTACTATGTTACAGCTATCTGCTAAAAATCAGGGATATGCAAAATTTATAATTATGGGATTATGAATTAAAGTTATTAAATGTAATGTCTAGTCTTTTCTTCGTTCTCCATCTCCCCTCTATTGTATCATACATGGAGATCTTGTAAAATAAAATCTTTTTCAAATACTAACACAAAATAAGTAGAATGGCACATCCGCTGCTAGACCTCATCCAAACTGTTCTAAAGCAAAGTTAAAAATCTAGAAATAAAAGGCATTTCTTTTAGTTTTCTGGACTACCACTCTTCTTTGTTATTATATATAACACACATGACTCAAACTTGGGAAATTTACATTACGCTGGTAATTTTATGTGTATAATTCTGCCTTTAAGTGAGAAAATAAATCTACTTTCAGAATAGTTGATTTGAATTGCTTTTCCATAGTAAAGGGAGTTATTAGCTGTATAATGGCAGGGCAAATATTATATAGCTACATATTATGTAAAACAGTTGTACAGTTCAATATTTTGTTAGCTACATAGTGCTAGGTTAAATATCAATACCATTTATACTTTTAACTTTTCTATCTAAATTCAATAATTTAGTATTGAACTAGTGTGTGTGTGCATACTAGGAAAAGGAAGAAGATAAAATCATATTTCTTAGAGAAAAAAGAATTTCTTAAGTTCTTTTAAACAGATCTTTAATATCCCCTCTTCAAATGATGTAAGAAATAGTGTTTATGTCAAGTGGGGGTAAGATCATCTATAATCTTGCAATCCTTTTCCTAAGAGTGTGCAAGGGAACTAGAGATAGTTATTTCCCTCTGCTGGGCCAATTGTTGCTAAACTTTTCTGTCTGGTAAAATTGAGAACAGAGAATTGAATGCTAAGAGGGTGGTTGTCAGGTAACCAGAAAGACATTTCTAAAATCTAGTGATCTCCCAAAGGAATCAAAATAGGAGGAAAAAAAAAACAAAAAACAAAAACAGGAGGAAAGGGAGAGGGGAGAGAAGGAAGAGAAGAGGGACTGAGTTGCAGGCACTCCTAGAAGAGGGGCCAGTGCTGTGGGTCTCCATGCCCTCCCACGGGCGCTCTGGCGGTCAGTTACAGACTCTGGAGCTGAAGTTAGATATTATATACCACCGTAGAAACTCTTGCAACAGTGGAGTTTACCTCATTATTCTGTGTACATAAGAGGAGAGAGGAAGGCTCATCCCCTGCCTTCTCCAAACTCAAGCAAAAGTATGAAGTAAGGCGAATTGGTCTTTAGACCTCTATCTTCTTTTCTGGAAATCTCTTTTTGATCAGTCTTACTCAGCCTGGCAGTTCTTAATTCATGCCCACCTTGTCTCCTATCAAAGCAGCCCGTTCCCTTGCTGCAGCTGTATCTGCAAGGTGGAAAGACAGAAGCTGTTTAAACTGTTGAGGAAACTAGTATGAGGATGATTAGTAATATTTTAGGCGTACATACGGATCGTTATACTTTATTGCCAAATCTAGCCATATGATAAAAACTTTGAAAAAAAAAAAGAATTATCACTTTGCCTTATTATTGCGGTGTATATTTTCCAATTATTTTCCTGAATATTGTACTTGTTTTTATTTTTAGGATGTACATAAAATCTAATGTAATCATTACAACCATATTCTTGGACATGGCACTCTCTCTCTCTCTTTCTCTCTCTCTCTCTACGTATATGCATATGTATTGACAAAGATATTTAGTAATGAAAGATCAAAGTCTAGGTGATATAAACAGTAGAATATTAGAAGTTCATAATTTATATTTGGGGTCAGAAAAGAGACATTTTTGTAGAGAAGAATTGGAAAGTAGGCTAACCAGCTTTGCCTAGGAGTTTGACCCCCGAGAACAATTCTCTTAAGTTTTTCTGGTTTCCAGCTTCATATTGTCCATCCATTTTTTTTTTTTTTTTG